AGGCAGTGTTGTCCAAACTTGGCCACTTTAAGATGAGTGGACTTCAACTCCCAGCATGCTGGCTGGGGAATTCTGGGAGTTGAAGTCCACTCATCTTAAAGTGGCCAAGTTTGGACAACACTGCCCTAAGGCTTCTCGGTGGGCTATGCTTGGGATGTAAGGAACCTAGCAACACTGCATATTGGAGACCGATTCCACCCAGCTTTCTGCTAAGGTTCTGCAGTGGCTCTCTTCTACAAGGTGTCCACCTCTTGCGTGGAAAAGCTCACATTGCAGGAAATGTGGTCAGTGCGCTAGAGCTGAAAGCAACTTATTTCTTCCCTCCATTTATATGCAGTCCAACATGTGTTCCTCTGTGCCAGGTGTGGGCATTATTTTTCTCCTGGGGACTGTGCTCTTTTTTCAACCTCCAAGGTCCCTAGAGAAAGCATGGTGACATCCGTGGATGAAATATTCAGCCCATTTTTTTCAGGTTCAGGGGAGATCTTATTGCTAACCTGGCGCATTAAGACTTACAGACATGTTTATTTAAAAAAGATAAATCACATGAATTGAAGAGTCAATGGCGTATCTACCTGGGATGTGCCTTGGCATTAATTATTGTTTTAATTATTGATGTTGGACTTAAGATTGCATGGATATTTTTGCTGGTACTGTTGTCTATATCGTTTTTGACTGAATCAGCATAAAACTATAATAGAAAGAATATTGATGCTTTTGAACTTTGGTGGTGGAGAAGACTCCTGAGAACATCATGGCCAGCCAAGAAAACAAACAAATGGGTTATTGAACAAATCAGCTCAGAGTTCTCACTCATGGCACAAATGACTAGGCTCAAACTTTCATATTTTGGGTACATTATGTGAAGACCTAACTCTCTGGAGAAGGCTCTAATGCTGAGAAAGATAGAAAGAGGACGGCCACCAGCAAGGGAAGATGGGCAGTTACAGTGGAGATGGGTGCAATGTTAGAAGACCTGAAAGACCAGGTTAGGGATGCATTGGCATGGAGGAAATCTATTTATGTGGCCACTAAAGCTGACACAGACTTTGTGGCATATAATCAATCACTAATGTAAAGTTGGCAAATTATCACTGGATTTGGTACTGCAATTGCAGGAGGCTTCTGAGTTAATGGAAAACCAGGATGGGGAAGATGGGCTTGCTGAAGTTCTGATTTACTGAGCAAACACAAGAATTCTTATTTCCAAAATGATTCAAATATTTTAAAAGTCTTATAAAAGATGTGTTACTAGAAACATACCAACTCAACTAAACATCATCTGAAAACCTGGTCATATAAATGCTTCCTTTGCACAGCCTTAATGGCCAAGATGCTGGATCTTCTCATTTCAGGGGACGCATGTTCTGAACCTCAGAAGCAACTGCAGAGAAGGTCCAGTCTCAATTTGCTCTCTGATCTACTAACAAAACCTGCCACCTACTAACTCTACCCCAGATGGCCTTCATGAATGGTGAGGATCTTTCCATTTTAAATGAGCCAAAGCTTTTTCCTGTTGACCTTTGGGTATTACCTGGGGAGGGGAAGGGAGGGGAGGGATGAAGCTTGACAGATCTGAAGAGAATAGGTGCCAGGTGGTGGAAGGTTGGCATGTGTGTGTGGCTATGGACCAGAGCAGCAATTAATGGCGTTGGACCTCTGATCATATCGACAGGGCGTTTCATGGAGTTGCAGAGAGCTGAGATGGGATTCCATAGATGAACTCCACTGATTGAGATTAGAGTGTCAGATAGGAGATGTTCTAAGGATTTACAGTTCCCCCAGTGGCTGTATCCTCCAACCACCCATGTCCTCTTCTGATCTTGCGGCTGATTGTGGCTATGGAAGGAACAACTAATGCTGCTGATCTTTGGATTCTGCTGCCCTCTGCTGTTGATGAGTGTTCAGTCATCCTGTATATGGCCTGGCATCTCAATGGAGCCAAGTCTAGTTTACAAAACATATACCTTAATACGTGTTTTATGTTTCTAATGCATCCAAAAAATGTTTTCCAATTGTCTCTCATTTTTATGTTATCCCCATGAAAGAGCATGATTGTAACCAACCCAAGTATCATACCCAGAAAGTAGTGAGGTGCTTCTGATGATGCTAAAACTCTAATACATGGACTTCTCCTGTCTTCCTCTCCCAGTCACATTCACTCTGGAGTAGAGCAGGCAATACATACAGGTGAAACTCGAAAAATTAGAATATCGTGCAAATGTTCATTTATGTCAGTATGGC